GTTGCGGCCGGAGGCTGCTCCCCCCTCCGCTTCCGCCCATCGCACTCACGTGGGTGCGGAGAGGGCACGCTGCGCCCGAGAGGAGTGAGGAAATGATTCTCGGTAGCGGAGGACAGCAGGAGAGCCCGAACTGGTAGAAAGGGATCCGTCCCCCCCTCCGCCTCCCTCTTTTGCATTTAAATTCTAAAAAGGTTTATCTGGATTTTATAAGGGGGAGGAGAGCCTTTTCTGTTCAACAGGCCCTCCTCCTCTAACTTTTTTTTTTTTAAAAAAGCTAAAATGTTGCCAATATTTTTTTAAAATATATTTTATTGATTTTTTTAGAGAGAGGAAGGGAGAGGGATAGAGAGTTAGAAACATCTATCAGCTGCCCCCTGCCCACAACCAAGGTACATGCCCATGACTGGAATCGAACCTGGGACCCCTCAGTCCGCAGGCCAACGCTCTATCCACTGAGCCAAACCGGTCAAGGCAATGTTGCCAATATTTATGTGCCAAGTATTTTTGCCGCCTCTCATTTCACCATCAAAATAAGCCCAAACACAGGTTCTGCCAACTCACCCCCGCTTTTCTGGTGAGGAATTTGAGGCTTGTAGTGGTTCAGTAATTTGCTCAAGGTCACACCACTGGGGAGCCTCTGCGCAGGGAGCCAGGCTGTCAGAATCCAAACTCGCCTTCGTAGTCTTGAGCCTGAAGGGTCCTCACCACTCTGCACCTCCAGTATTTGGGAGACAGAAAACTTGTCTTGGGAAATCACCTGACTTAGTAAGGCTGGGGCTTTTTTTCTTAAATCCTACCCGAGGATATTTTTTCTGCTGAGTTTTCAGAGAGTGGAAAGGAGGGGGGAAGGGAGAGAGAGAGAGAGAGAGAGAGAGAGAGAGAGAGAGAGAGAGATCCATGTGAAAGGCTTCCCGCAGGCCACGCCATGGCCCTGGGATCGAACCTGCAACCCAGGTGCATGCCCTTGACCTCCCTGACCATAATCGAACCCGAGACCCTTCGGTGTACAGGCCGACTCTATAACCACTGAGCCACGCCAATTTTAATGGTTAGCAGGATCATCTGTGGGTAAAATAGAGTAAATGTGTAGAGCAGTGGTTCTCAACCTTAGCTGCACATTAGAATCACCCGGGAATCTTTTTAAAATCCTGATTTCTGGGCCTCACCTTCCAGAAATTCTGTTTCTTTGTTATGGGGTGGGGCCACAACATTAGTAACAAAGAAACAGAATTTCCGGAGGATGAGGCCCAGAAATCAGGATTTTAAAAAGATTCCCAGGTGATTCTAATGTGCAGCCAAGGTTGAGAACCACTGCCCTAAGTAGTTCATCTTTTTATGGTATGTTTTTAGTTTCAACTCTCCCCCATCTAGAACACATCACCACTGATTTTCTTCCTATGTTTATGGCCTGCATGTCCCTGGGCTAAAGTTTCACATCTTTGTTCCTGCTGCTTCCCAGTCTTTGCTTAAAATCTAAGCCAAGACCCAGGTCTTAATTTATTTGCACCTGAGTAACTGCATTGAGAGAATCACTAAGGGAGCAAATTAGCTGAGTTCAAAGAAGTGTGCTTGCATTTAAAAAATAAAAATAAAAAAGACTTCCAATCACTGCCAGGCTTTAATTTTAAATAAAAATTAAAAACAAATACAAGATTTTGAAAACAACCCATGATAAAATGCATTGTGAACAAATCTACAGCATAATAAAAAAAAGTGTTATTCACAATTAGGCTGAGCTAAATATAATCTATATATATGAAAGCCTAAGCGACCAGAATGCCGGAATGACCAGTCGCTATGATGCACACTGACCACCAGGGGGCAGATGCTCAATGCAGAGCTGCCCCCAGGTGGTCAGTATGCTCCCACAGCCAACCTTCAGTAGCCAGACAACCTCCTGCAGTCCCTCCCCCCATCTGGCAGGAAGGCCCCAAATGGCCCTAATTACCGGCCATGCTTAAGGACCCCACCCTGCATGAATTTCGTGCACCAGGCCTCTAGTTTTATATAATCTACTCCTCTACTATTAAAAAGTTATAGATATGGCCTTGGCTGGTGTGGCCTAGTAGTTGAGCATGAACCTATGAATCAGGAGGCCATGGTTTGATTCCAGGTCAGAGCACATGTCCTAGTTGTGGGCTCGAACCCCTGTAGAGGACTTGCAGAAGGCAGCTGATCAATTATGCTGATCGATGATTCTCTCTCATCATTGATATTTCTATGTCTCTATCCCTCTCCCTTCCTCTCTGAAATCAATAAAATATATATATTTTAAAATTTATAGATATGATATGGGACAATTTAAAACAAAGATTAAAAGGGAGATCTGGCCTATTGATTATGTGAATGTCCCATGGGTTGTGGTCATACTGGTCTTAGAAAGCACATTTTCCTTTACCTGGGAAGGACAGCACAGTTATCCCAAGGTCAGAGGGCTCCAGTTAACGTATCCTTGTGGACTCAGTGTTCCAGAGACCCAAAACTGTAATTTAGATAACATGCCTAAGTTTAACGCAGGTTCCTCATTCCAGACCCGAGGGCTCTAGATAATGTGTTTCTGTCAATTCAGTGACCCCGAGACCCAAAACTGTAATTAACATGCTGCTTCTGTAAACTGCTTTTTTGCAAACCGGGTTCCTCATTCAAAACCTTGAGATGTAATCAATATCTTTATGATCTTTGCCTATATAAGTCTGGTTTTGCCACCATCTTATCACTATGAGATTTGGGGAATGGCCCCTCATAGTCCCGGATTGCAATAAATGTGACTCTTTAATTCGAAAAAAAAAAAAGGGAGATCTGGAATTGCAAAACTCTGAGCCTTCTCCTTTCTGCTGTTTCTGTGCAACGCAAATTTCAGAGATGCTGGGCATTGCTCATGGCATATCTATGCACCAGAGCCTACAGTTTAAAAAATGCTTCTGTGGGGAATGAAAGAAGGTAGCTGATTGTATCAGAAACATGGAATATAACAGCTTTTTTATACCTGGCATCTCATTCTGTTCAGTTTAAAAGCAGCGCGGTAGTTAAGAAACACCACCACTCCTAACTATGGGCTACACTTAGTGACTTGCTTGTAATGAATCCATAGACTAAAGCCGAGGTGGTGATGTCTGACTTCCAATACGAGGTCACAAAAGACATTGCAGCTTCCTCCTTGCACTCGCTCCTGGATGGCTCACCCTGAAGGAAGCCACACTAAAGAAGTCCTATGAAAAGTTCCTAATGTGAGGAACTGAGACCTCTACCAAGAGCCAGAGAGGAACGAGTCTTCTTACTCATACAATCATGCACCGCTTAACGTTGGGGATACCTTTTGAGAAATGAGTTTGGTGATTTTGTCCAGACAATGGGATATAATTCAGCATTAAAAAGAAATGAGTGGTCCCACCATGAAAACACATGAAGGAAACTTATATGCATATTACTAAGTGAAAGAAGCCAATCTGAAAAGGCCACATACTGTTATGATTCCAACTCTATGACATTCTGGAAAAGGTAAAACTTTCTATAAAGTAAAAAGATCAGAACTTGTCAGGAGGAAGAGAGGGAAATGGGCAGAGTAAAGTGGATGTTTAGGGCAGTGAAACTCCCTGGATGATACTACAATGGTAGATACATGTCATTATACATTTGTCCAAACCCAGGGAATGTACAGCACCAAGAGTGAACCCCAATGTAAATAATGAATTTTGGGTGACAATGTGTCAATGTAGGTTTATCAATTGTAACAAATGTAACATTCTGGTAGGAGATATTGATAATGGGGAGGCTATACAGAAGTGGGTGGAGCAGGGGGTGCTGTATATGGGAACTCTCTACATTATGCTCAATTTTGCTGTGAACTTAAAACTGCTGTAAAAACATCTATATTTTTAAAGGATCTAGAACTTGTTTTGAAAATTCCCAGATCCAAAGTATACATGGGAACTTAGTTTATCACAGAGATGGCATTTCCTGTCTGTGGAGATACTTGCAATATAAGTAATTGATAAAGAATTCGTATCCAGAATATATGAATAGACCCCTATGAATCAATAAGAAAAAAGAAAATCAAGTGGATATAAAAACAGGGAAATCAAATAGTAAAAATCCATGTGAAGCAATCTCAATCTCACTGTT